TTTATGCCTTATAAAACCCAAATCTCTATTAAATCTCCTATAAATTATAATTCTTTTTAAGAAAAAGCAGTGATTACCTATAAATTTGGAAGTGTAGACAATGTGGTATGACCAATGTTGTTTAGAAGGTTATCTATAATTGACCGTTTATTGCACTATGGTAACTACTAATTCATACACCAACATGTTGCATTTTATGATGTTCCTTCTATGGGGTATGGACATCTCATTAATATTTCCTATTCTTAACTCCTTACACTAAGATTCAGTAAATGTAGAAAGTGCAAAATTAATAATTAAAATATCAATACACCTTTGGGCTTAGAAATGGAGGTCGATTTTGACTTTCAATCGTCAAATACGATATGATTACTTCAAAATTGATTAAAAGGAACACTGTTTCGCTTGTAGAGAAGGAATAGAGAACTAGAATGAATTACAAGACCACATACCATATTCTAATAATTTGGCACTAACGATTTATAAACATTTATCTCGATTACAGGTACAATAAAATAAACGTTTTAAATCTTGCATTAGTCTGACTTTGTATAATCTAAATCTTGACTAAAGCATAAAACAACAAGTTTACAAGCCCTTAGCATCCCACCACCTCCTCCCCTCCCCAGCATCAATAAAACAGTAGTTTATCAGAAGCACAGTTGCGAACAAATTCAAACCTTTTGCATATCTTAAGTTCTTAACTTAAATAAGCCCCTTCTGACCTAAGACTAACATCTTCAACTTCCATTGGATTGCTGCTTACTACTAACCCTAAATTCATAAATCAATGGTTTTATGGCTAATCGTTAATCCAGGTAACCACACACCTAATCAGCATGTGCAATCCAAGAGTTTTGGTCCACTTCAATCAAATAAATGGCAATTGATCATGAAATGAAGCAAAAAGGAAAACATGATCACAAATGGATTTAACAAGATTACATATCTCTAACACATTTGCTTGTTGCTACCATAAATTGTTGATGACCAAAAGAGGGTTCAAGAATCCCGCTTTATCTATACTATATACGCAACCAGTAATCCAACTCAACATTCGGATAGATCTGATTCTCAAAAATCCACCATCTAAACACGTACACGAATCTCGTGAATAAAACAATAAGCATTATCATCAAAACCATTAATTCTTGTATACACCCGGATATAAATATCACAATCTACAAAACCCATGAAAAATCTCCACCATCAAGAATCCCAAGTAACAAAATTCCACGCATACCCATAAACGAGTGTATGGAAAATGAACCAATTTTGTAGAAAATCACCTGAAAATATCGAACTTAACGGGAAGCAGTAGACTAACGGAAACAACCTAAATTTGAGAAGAACCCTAAACTAACAATCGATTGAACAAAACAAAATGGTGGGGTTTTGCGCTTCATCTATATATGTATCTCAAATTCATCAAAACATAAATAGCCCAAAATCGAGCTCTTTAACGTAGCGGTTACAGCGTTAAAAAGAAGACTTACCGGAGAGGAAAGTGCCGGAAGCCGGCGGGAAATTTACAGCTTTCTTGCAGAGAAGTGTGTCAGTTACCGAAGAGACGCTGAAGAAAAGAAGCAGCACAACAGAGAGGATAGAGAAATTAATTTGAGAGAGATTTTGAGTAATTTATTATTTAACCCTCATTTTTTTTTTTCTCTGAGAGTAAACACTAAACAGTAGGTTGGTCTAGCAGGGGTTATTATATTTTCTTCATATAAACCACAGTCAACTACATTATGCTTTTCTAAATTACACACCTTATTCTCTCCTCCCTCCTCCCTCCTCCCCTTTCATTAAAAGTATAAAGTTTAAAATCACATACATACCAAAAGATAAAATTGAGACACGCCCCAAGATCGAGTTACCATCTTACTAAAACACAACATCAAGGTTGCCCCTAAAAACATAGATGAAAACCTGATAAAATACTTAACCAAATAAGAAGAGTTAACGTCAGATCATCGCTAGACAGAAGGCCTAGACTGATGGTCAGCCAGAAACATTCGCAATCAAGTCGCCAGGTGACAAAAGAGCACCTGCAATCTCTAGTGGTAGTGCACACACCATTACCACTACTCTTGTTAAGTCAATCACAACTCAGACATGAGACAAATGTAAGATTCACCAATCAACATTATTGTCCGGATTCGGGTCTGACACTCCTTGATGGGTTATTAACATAACATCAATCCTATAGTGTACATGCAACCCTAATTGTTTTGATCTAGGTTTTTCTAAGTAAACATACAATATTGAATTCCAAAGCAATAAACCCTAAAACTAGCATACTAATTTCGAAAATCATATGTAATGAGGGTTTGGAATCTTACCTTGATTGTTATATAGCAATAACAATCACAATCCTTCTTGATCTGGACTTCTAAAAGCTTAGTGTCTCAAGTGTTGCACCTTTAATGGAGTCACAAACACTCAAGCAACAGCATGACTTTAGGAGAGGGAAGATTTTCGGACCTTAGGGTCTCTTAGAAGCATTGGCCGAAAATCCCTTAGTCATGGGGTCCATTTATACTTGTGGCTGCTAGGGTTTTAGGTGGAAACCCTAATATGACTGCTTAAGCTTAAGCAGCCCATGGACTCCTTCCTTAGAGCCCTTTGGACGAAATCTTATTGGGCTTCCCCATAGATTTCATCCACTCCACT